AGGAACACTAAGACACAGAGTCATTAGGTCTATGACACTAAAGACACTAAGTCTATGGAGCCCCCTGGTTTTCACTAGGAATAATGGGCTTTGCTGCAAGATGTCTCTAACTCACCCAAATAGGCAGCATTTGATCAGAGTGGGAGACTCTGGAAACACTGGGCTGCTAAAATTACAAGGGCAAGAGCCATGGAGAGTCAAACACAGAGGTGCTTAGAAGCAGAAACACTGAGGATCACAGGAGCAATGGGAGTTACAGGAGAGCACTGAGGAGCAAGAAACAACAAAGACACTGAGGGTGTACAAGAGTTCCAGGTTGCACAAGGGGTGCTGAAGTCACAGAAGAGCAGGTAAGGTTATGGAGACAGGAAGGCAACCATTGGGAAAACACTGGAGGCACAGAAAGCTCGGTAGCTAGCATGGCAAAGCTGTCCTATAATGCTGAGCGATATGTGTGCTAGTCCTTTAAAGAAGTGGCAAGGTTCAGATTGATGCAATGCCAGCAGATCCCAGAAGCTGTTGCTCCAGAAATGGTTTCTCCACCTTGGCCACACATAACTACAGTCTGCACTCTGTGAATGAAGGAGAGAGGGTGTGGAGAAACAACACCAGGGCTTAAGTCTAAAAGACCCCCAACACTCATATTCAGAGCAGGCTGGAAGAACTTTGGGAAGTACAGTGAGATAATATCCAGCAGAAAGATAAGTATTGGTGTTATAGCACTGTGAATTGATTGGACAGACAATATATTATAACTGAGGAGCGATAACATTTGTTTACAAGGCCAAATCTCTGTGCCTACAGTTGTGCTTTAAGTTAAGCATAAACATTTACCTCTCTACCCATCTGCTCCATCAAACACTACTCGGTTCAAAAAGAATTGCTGGGAAACCAACATCGCTGGGATTCTTGATCTCTATTGTTCCCCACAGAATTCAGTGATTCCTCCCGCAGGACAAACATGTCCTGTAGTATTATTGAGGCCAGCAGATGGAACCAGCGAGTGATGTGAGAGGTCCAGGAGATCACTACTTCCAGAAGTGTTGGTTTGCCATGTTCCTTGCTATAAAGTCATTGATAGTAGTGAGCAGCAGGAGGGTCATATATTTATTTACGTAGCACCCCTCCTAGTTTAGCTAGGGGGAGCTAGATCCTAATGGTTAGACAGGAGCTGAATAGCAGCTCAGGAGTGTTAGAGGGGTCAAATTGTGGGCATAGCTGAGAGACTCTGCAGGCCATCCTCTCTGGAACTTCCCCCTGCTCTGAGGCTTTCAGAGGAGGGCCTTGGAGGCAGTGGGTGGATCTGAGGAATGGTTGGTTGCACTCTTGGGGGACCTCAGCCAATCCCCAACAGAAGGCTTGGCAAGGGGCTGGGACTCCCATAAAAGTGTAATAGCATGCTTAGTAGCAGGAGTGTGCAGAGTTGGGTGGAAGGAGAGAGGAAGAAGGCTGCAAGGAGGCCTAGTGGTATGTGGCCTGCCTGTGAGCCTGGAGCTGGTAAGAGGAGAACTTGGGACTTACTGGCCACCTGAGTGAGGACCACCTGTATGGCAGGGAAGGAGCAGCCCAGCTGATAAGTCTGGTATCAGCAGCCAACCCGCAAGCGGTACAGGAGAGTACACCTGCACCCCCTTGGTAGATAGGGGAAGGAGCACTCTGGTGAGGAACCAGATTAGCCACCTACTAGTGACTGATTACCTCATTTAAAGGGACAGGAGCCAGATCCCCAGCTCAGGAAAAAGTCTCCAGATTTCTGGGTGAAGAGGAGTTCATCTAGGGTCTGGGGTGATACAACAAGGAGATGCTGGCTAGCACTCTGTCAGAGAAGAGAAGCTTGTGAATAGTTTCAGGAAATTTGTTCTCAGATATCGGTTCTGTTGGGTATCCTAAACCCCCCTTACCCTATCCAAGTTCTAATCCCCTTAATAAATAACAAAACTAAAGCTCAAGGACTAGTTTTCTGCCTCTGAATGCAAGCTTGTGTGGAAAATGCTGAATGACTAGCTGAGCAGGACTATAGGGGGACCCAAATTCATCAGCAACCCCTAAGGGGGCAGTGTTACACGTTTAAAGCTTTCTTCCATCCCAGTCAGCACTAGCAATGGGACCATAATAGTGTTATAACACTTAAGTGGAAAAATCCATTCCATTTTGATGTATTATCAGTAGTCAAGGTGCCTGTATAATCATGAGTGGAGCTTTCGGCAAATAGTCCTTGGTGAACCATCACATTCCCTACATATTCATAGCAGATGGTTCCAGGTGTTGTTTCTTAGGATTAACTTTATAAGATGAATGGCACATGGAAAAGAACAGACAAAGACATCTAGCGTGAAACCAATGAGGAAAGTTTTTTACTAGTGTTTGTTGATGCAGTTAAAGCAGAATAGTCAGACAAAAATAATACACAGCAAAGTAGTGGGAAAGGGAACATAAAGGAGCATAAGACACAGCACACAGCAGAGTATATGCTGAATTTTTCTACCTACAAAAGGGCACATTTCAGATTGCACAGAGACCGGGAGGGGGCTTCAATTACATGGGTGCAGCCATGTTACAATGTCATATGGTACAGGGTCGGTATTTAAATCAGAGCCCTGCTTTTCTATACCATACAGAGAGCAGTGTACACCGAAAATAGAGAAAATGTTTTTGTGCACCCATAATCATTTGGGAATTATGAATTGTATATCACACTAGCCCCGACTAATGATCTAAGAACCACACATAGCTCTCCACTATTTTAAATGTGGATCTTAGCATCCCCCTCCGAGCATGTACAATACCTGTTTATACCTAAGGTTTTAATATGAAACAGCAATAATCTTTTAAAAACTTTATTGCAGATCCATTGTTCCTTCTAGCTTTGAGATAGAGTAAAGTTGCCCATGCCAACACCAGCTCAACAAACTGCCATTCAGTTTCATGCCAACACTGGCGCCAACAGCCAACTGTGAAACTGAAGGGGATGGCTGGAAATATTTAACAGCCAATCATGTGCAGTTACTTCTTGGCTATTCTGATCAGGTAGTTTGACAGGCACGAGTGCCCACTGTCATGATACAATAGCCGGTAGCAGGAGAATCCTCCATCCACATTGCTAAGTGTGCATGGGGAAATCTATGCATTTCTCTCATTCAACCAGCTGGGTTAAACATGAAAAATCTCTACATGTATGGCCAGCTTAAGTAAGCCTTAACATGTCCTTTTTTAAGCAGACTAAAGTAGGAGACGTGCAGGGGCGGACTGACAACTCATGGGGCCCCCGAGCAATAGGGGATCATGAGGTCCCTGTGTCCTTGCCCAAACTCAAAAAAGCCTATGAAAAAGGTACCAGGGACATCTCATAGGGCCTCCTACTGACCCCGGGGTCTCGGGCCCTATAGTTTCCAAATGGTCAGTCCGCCCCTGGAGACGTGTCTTCATTATTATCACTTGCAGTCTCTGCGTCCTTTTATTCTGAGAGACTCTTTAATAGCAGTTCACAAAATATCAATGAAACACTCAAAGAGAATATAAGGCTCCATACACACCGGACGTTTTAATAACTCTGGTAACGTTAGCTGTGTAAAGTCACGTTAAAAACATGCATTTTTCAGCAATTTTTTGTGTTTTTGTATTAGCATTTAGCGGCATTGTGCCGCTTTTTTTTTTCACATTTGCGTTTTTCTTTAGTACAAAAAAGTCCAAAAACGCTGTGTTGCTACGATTTACCGCGTTTTTCAGCATTAGAGCGTTTTTACAGCTAAAAAACTCCTCTAGATATCCACTAGTTATGGGTTTTTTTTTTCCCAGCCAAAAAACATCCCAGCCAAAAAACGTTGATTACAGTCTCTGTGTGCATGGACACATAGGATAACATGCTGGGGGGGTTGCCAGCTGTAGAAAAAAAACGTCAAAAGCCAAAAACAACCGCTGTAAAAACGTTTTGTGTGCATGAGGACTAAGAGTTTGCTCCCTTGGGTTGCCATGGCTTCAAGAAAGTTATGTTTCAATAGTTTTGCTAAACTATAAAGCTACAGATTGAAATGGAAAGGTCACTTTTTATATAGCATAATGGTTATTTTAAAAAAACGTTTATCTTAGTTTAAAGAAATTACAGCTTTTGGAATACATTGTATTTCTGTGAGTGTATTTATTTCTCCATTTTAGTACAAAGGTGTAGTCTTGTAGTGCAGCATACAACTATATACAACACATACAAATGATGTTAAGGTGAGTGGTTAGCTTGCCAGCAAGAGAAGACACTGTAGAAAAAACACTATTTACACATCCTGCTTTAAATTTGGGGCAATGACTGGTGCACTCAGTACAGAACCCCACTTCTGATTTTAGGTAGCTCATCAAACAACACAAGAACACACAAATTTATCATTTTATCAAGTCATGCTGCACAGCTTTTGCCTTAAATAAACATTAAAACAAAAAAACAAGGTTAATTACTAGGAAATAAGTTGTGTTGGATATATTGAAGGCGAACCTAAGCATGAAGATTCCTGAAGCAGTAGGGTTGACTTCAGAAGATTTTAGAACTATTATCAAAGGTTGGTTTATAACTGTGTGTCTCAACTATTTTCATATGTGGGGAACCCATACATCAGGTGTCAATTGCTACATAAGATTGACAAAAATCCTTATATCCAGAAAGAATACCTGCCATTACTAAAATACGGTGACCCTCAAAAATTATTTTAACACCCTCCAATAGGACCCAACGTAGTGGCTGTGCATCTTTGCACTAAAACACAATTCATAATTGCACTAATTCCATATGACCGTCATAAATGGCAATCTCCTATCATGCCCAGTGGGCATTAACAAGGCCTAAATATTATTGTTAATAAAATCTTGGCCATCTCATTCCAACCACTGATAAAAACCATTTGTAAACTAAGCTTTAAGTATTTTGATTGCTGATTCATTTTGATTGCAACTTCAATAATATATATCATTTATTTATATCAAGGGAAAACTTGATACAGATGGGTGCTTGATTTCATTCATACTACTCTTGCAGATAAGGTATTAGGTCTCATCTTCATCTCAATGAATGGAATGGAGAACTCATGACCCTTCCAAGGTTCCCAGTTGACACCCTGGAAAACAGCAAGCAAAGCACAGAAAAATTAAAAGTATGAACTGATAAGTTAGCAAACTAAAACCAATGTAATGGATAGATACTTATACAGTATATTTTACATTGTAGGTTAAAGTGTAACTTACTGTTTTTGTATGTTGCCTGTATGAACTCTAGACAGGTGCTAAGTTGCCAGAGAGAGCAACTATAACCACCTACCGCAGGGTGGCACGTGCAGGCACAATCATGTACATGTACATGTACATCACTGTGCCTGGTCCGGGTTAGGAGCTCACAGAGTGTCCCTCCTGTGACTGCTGTGTTTACCAGACACAGTAGATTACAGTTACAGATAATTAGTAATTGGGTACCATTTGATTGCTATAATTGATCAATGGCTTTGCATTCATGAACAGCTTGCTTACTGTACTGATCTTTGATTGGCCCACAGCAATCACAAGGTACCTGGTTACCTGTACCATGTGATTAGCTGTAGCCAATCATAGATCACAAGCAAAAGCAAGCTGTTCATGAATGGTTAACTCATTCATTATAGCTAAAACTATTGCTTATACTGAATAATCAATACTGAACTAAAAAAATCAACAGTGGGAAAATAATAATCTCTGATCACCCCCAAGAGCAATACAGTGTCACTATGGTGACACTGAGCTGCTCTGATGACAGGTTGTAAAATAAGAAAGTTGTAAAGAAAAAAAATAGGGGGGCTTCCAGGTTCTGAGAAGTCACCCAACGCAGACCTCCATAGCCACAGCCCAGGGTTGTGGGAAAGTGGCCCTTGTCCCCATCTACATGGGAAGGGGGAGCCCCCCTACCCCAAAACACCCCTCTATGTTGAGGGCAAGTGGTCTGGTACGGTTTCAGGGGGGTGCGCTAGTTCCCCCCCTTTCCTGGCCTGGCTCAGAGCAAGGGTCTTTTAGGAATTTAGGGGGGACCCCCAAGCTTTTTTTACCACCATTAAAAGTCCTAGCAGTCCTAAAGGGCCAGGAATGGCTTTTAGGGGGAACCCCATGCACTTTTTTTACAAAATGTTTTTACTGTGGTAAAGGTTCTGGATGGATTGGGGGGGGACTCCACTTTTTTTTTTCCTTTTTAATAAAATGACATTTCTAAAACACAAAAATGTCACTCCTGCTGAAGCCATTTTGGACTGTGCGCACTCCCAGGGAGCACGCAGCACCGCGATCCGGTGCCCGCTGTTTTCTTCAGACACAGTGGAACACCGATCGTCGTGCGGGACCTCTGTGCGAGGTCCCGATCATGTGATCACTGATTGACCAATCACTTCTGACATCATTGCTTACTACGTGTGAAATCTGTGAATGATCACAGAGGTCACATGGAACAAGGCTATTCACAACAGCCTTGTACCATGTGACAAGCTGTGACTAATCACAGCTCACACAGTAGTTCTCAATGGCTGCAAGAATGCAGCCAGAGAGAAGGAGAAATGATTGCTTTTACAGCCTTTATGTGTGTAAAAGCAATCAGTGTAAAAAAAAAATGACACTGTACTGCTAGGGTGACAGTATGGAGCAAAAAAAAAACATAAATAATATTATAAAAATAAAATAAAAATGTAAAAAAATGTTTTAAAAATTATAATTTTTGGTTATAAACTAATTTGGGTTATTTTTTTTTTTTTTACAAAAAGATAACTGAATAAATTTTGGGCAAGATTTATGATGAAATATTATTTATTTGCAAAATGTTATAAGAAAAACACTTTTTTTTTCAAAATTTCTGGACTTTTTCATTTATATAGTAAAAAAATAAAAATCCCAGTGGTAAATAAATACCACCAAAATAAAGCTTTATCTGTCTCAAAAAAATGCTAAAAAATTCATATGAGTACAGTGTTGCATGACAGCGCAATTGTCATTCAAAGTGTGATAGCACTGAAAGTTGAAAATTGGCCTGGACAGGAAGGGAGTAAAATTTAGCAGTGGTTAAAGGAATTGTTCTTTTTTTTTTACTTTAAGAAAAATGACTGCCCTGTTAACCACAACAATACTGCTACAGGGCAGTAGGGGTGCGCAAAATCGCGCATATATATATATATATATATATATGTGTGTGTGTGATTTTGCATTTTCGGGTCAGGGGCACGCACCATTCGCGTCCTCGGCTGTCAATCACCGGGTCCCGGCCGGTGATTACTCGTCGGCACCCGGTGATCGCCGAATATCTCCAATGGGAGAGAGACCATAGCTATGGGCTTACTTTAAAAATTCAGTCCAGAGGACTAACATTACCCATTTTGGTATGCAGAATTGTTAGGCCACATGAAGTTCTAATTTTTTTGGAAGAATTTTAATTAACTATGGCTCCAAACTGTTCAATGATTTCTTAAATGCAACTTCACGAAAGAGTGATATTTTAGTGTTTTTAAGGGCACTAATTTACTGAATTATTTACAGACTTGTCTCTTGTGGATGCCATGGTTGAGATTTCTCTGTGTGAGTTTGTATCATATTCCCTTCTCATAAGGCCATTATGAATATGTCGCTTTCTTGATAGAATTATTTGTGTAGGCTACATTGTAAAGCATCATCGTACCACCATCATCTTGCAGTACTTGTAGCATTTATACAGAGCTGCTGGGAATTCTATTTGGGATACCTCTACACTCGAGTCCCATAGCTAACAACTACACATAACTGAAATATCAGTAAAGTTATTTAAGACTGTGCTTCCTTCCTTGTTTTTTACTAAATGACTTATTGGGATTATTATGGGCAAATTTCACATTCTGTAATAATTCAACCCACATGAGTTACATTATGTTTTCTTATGCCATGCACTTTAAAATTATCATGTTAAGAACTACAGTATTTTTGCAGTTGCGTGCCACCCTCAGCAGAACTAATGCATCCCCAAAGGGAGTTCTACTACACAATTATGCAATCTGCTCCACTTGAGCTTGACATTTGTGCTCACTTTAAGTATATGTAAAAACTGAAGAAAATTTCAGAAATTTGCCTGTCTGAAAAACAGCGTAATAAAAAATGAAAGGGTACCTGTCTTAAAATAGAAAAAAACTTTGTGGAAAAGGCACTAAACCTGATTAGAAAAACCACCCTCAATCTCATAAGCCGCATCTTGAGTCCAGGGCTGTGAAATTGAACCTAAATGTTTTCACGTGGATAAAATGAAAGATGGTTCTTGATTTTTAGGAAAGGTTGTCTTAGTTCCCATACATGTTGTCAGAGGAAATCTCTATAGTGGGAACGCAAATAACAATATCAAATTGGCTGTGACCTTTCTGCATATTGTCCAAATGTATTAAAAAAAATAAAGTTTGGGCCAGAATTCCACTTTATGCCACTATTATTTAAAAGTTGCATTTCTGTAGGATTTTCCATACATTTTAAATAACAATATGGCAGCAGCTCAGATCAATGTAGTACACTGAAAAATACAATTACCTTACCTGTGACAGTTATACATTTATCAGAGTAATTGCTATTCTTTCCTTTTTGGATTTGGTGAAGAAACACACTGGGTGACTTGAGCTCTCAGGTTATTCATTGAGATATAAATATTGTATATGTCCCAGATTGGGACCTCAGTTTTGTTTTAAAGTGCAACTAAATCCTAAATTTCTCACATAACCTCCAGCGATGTGACATCTGAAAACTCTCCAGACACATCCAGACATATTCTCCTGGCTTCTCTTCAGGTTTTGTGGTATTCAACTATCTTGATTTGCCAGGCCAGGACAACGCAACTCCCTTACATGTGCAAGGGAGTACTTTCATCCTGGCTTAGAGGCATGCTTAGAATGCACATGAAGACTAGTTTTAAAAGTGCTTTATGTTTTTACAAAGAACAACTCTACTTTAAAGCTAACATTCTCCAAGCTACCCCAACCCCTCCTGAACTAACCTACATGTCACCACCCAGCCAGCTTCTTACTAACCACTGTAATAGATCCATGCCCTATGCAGTGTTAACCTCTACTCTGGTTGGAACCTTTTTTAAATGGCAGCCATGCCTGTGCACTTAGATCTCATAGATTAGACTTGTATGCATCATCCCAGATGCCGGAGCTGTAACCCAGGACAACCCCATAGAAGTCAGAGGGCTCTGGGTGCAAGCATTGTACCAAAGAGCTGTCCCATGCTGGGGGGTGTTAGTGTAGTGTAGCCTAGTTCAGGAGAAACGAGTTAGAGGATTTGATTTTAAGCCCATTTCTAGGCAAAGCTCTCCCCTCTACCATTTCTTTCTCACACCACCTTGTAAATACTTTATGAATCTTTTTTTATACTCACCTAAATTTGTGTTTCTTGATAACTCTGCTTTTGAATGGGATGACTGGTGGATCAAGTTCTGCAGTCTGTACCTGGTCAACCAATCACCACTTTGTGATGTCATCACACTACTGAAGTCTCCTGTATCCCAAGAGAACCCCTCCACTGGACAGCCAATAGGAAGGGTCCACATCATCCAGGAAGTGATGTGGACAACCAAAGAAGGACCCTCCTACTCAGCAGTGAAGAAGATAGAAAACTTGGAACCTATCAGGGCACATGCCCATGAATTTAAATAATTATTTTGGACATTTTGGATTTTTTTTTTTTCAAAAACTAATTAGGCTTAGAGAGGGAGAAGGGGGGAAAAGATGGTGAGAGAGCTATTCCCGAAGTTGATCAAGTATGGTTGTCCTTTGAGAATCAGTAAATATTTGTCCATACACAGGTTCACTTCAAGATAAAATGAGTTCAACAAGTGGAAAGTGAAACAGTTGTCAGAGAAAGGTAATTAATGTTACTAGGATATTTAAAAAAAATCTTGTTTAGCTTAGCTCTTGGCCTGCAGATAACCATCATGATGTATCACTGGAGACAGATATGAAAACTCCTGTCCACAAATGCCATCTGCCATATAGTGAGATCCGGGGGTGCAACTATTAATTATGTGGCCCCATAACAAAGATTTGGTGAGGTCCCCTGCCTAACTCTCTCTGTTGCAGCTTGCAGTGTCAACTGTGACAATACATATCACTGATCTTAACATAAAGTATGCCAAAATAAAGGACAGGCAGGAGAGCTGTCAGCAAAGTCAGTACACTACAAGGGATCAGTGCAGTTATAGTAGCAATAATATTAATAATAATATCCTTAATTATATCACCTGGAATATATGGTTTTAGCTGATAAGAAGTTGCATTTTTTACTACATTAGCCATACAGGATTAACTTTAAGTTGACCTACAGAGAAAGAAAAAATGCCCCCTTGCAGTAAGATCAGTAGAATCCCCTGCTCCTGCAGGCTAACTCCAGGCTTTAAGAGCGGTCCCTGCAGCCTCTTCTACATTTTGCTGGTGCCAGGTCCTCTGACATCATCAAGTCCATTGTAAAAGCTATAGCCCTGCACTGGATGTAAGGGTGACAATGGACAGTCCCCCACCGAAGTGTAGGGGAATAGATAAGATCAGTTAAAAAAAACTGCTTTTTGCAGCCCCTTAACCCTTGCAGTGCTGGGGCAGCTCCACAACAAGGAAGCATTTTTCCTTTCTCCAGAGATAGGCTTTCAGTCTGTATCAGAAGTTCAGAGGGCAACAAATCTACACTGCTCATTACAACAAAATGCTTCTTACTGCACAGAGGGGAATCTGTGACTGGCAACAATTCTGAGATAAGGCATCATACTGGAAATGTCACTGTTTAGCTTTCCTTAAAAGCCCCTCCACCCCCCGAGAGGTCCCCCTTCTACTGCTGGCCCCATAGCATTGGTACAGGCTGCTATGGTTTTGGATATTGTTACGCCACTGGTGAAATCCTCAGGCTTGAAGAAAAGTTACAGGAAAGTGGATTCTGTTTGCAGATGGGTTAAACTGAACTATATTATGTTAATAGCTTTGGCACAAGGCCAGAAATAGCATAGAAATTATGTAAATGTCTCATATACCATTAGTCTTCTCTCCAGCAGCCTGAAAACTGCAGAACACCAGCTCCCTCCCAGAGAGAACATCCCTTAAAACAACTGCTTTACTGCCCTACTAGACACTAACAAGAACCACAAATCCATCTGAAGCTGTTTTATATGTTTATATTGATGCAAAATGCAGAGGAAAAGTATGCTGCTGTCAGACTTGCAGAATTATACATCACTTTCCTTGTATATACAGATAATACAAGTTTTAAATAGTAACTTGGCCATAAATGAAAAAAAAACTTTTCAAGCAGTTACCATGGCTGCTGTCTTTCTGAAAAACTTTTTCTCTTTTAATGCCTTGATTGTAACAGTACACATAACACATTGCTGCACTACAGGACGTCCAATAATGGATGTGAAGCTCTGGATGCAGACTGTAACAGCACACATAACACATAACACATTGCTGCACTACAGGACATCCAATAATGGACGTGAAGCTTCGGATGCAGACCCTTAACCATAACAGGGAATCAGATGGCTTGGCTTCAGTAGCTCTCCATAAAGTGTTTCCTCGTACCGCCTTCAAAATACAGGGCTCACCCAAATCCAATTTTAGAATTCCATGTGAAAACAAATGTAGTACTACCTCCATAGAAGCTGCTAGGGTATTGCCAGGTGCATACACTGTGGGAATGCCTTAGCATTTGCACAGTAGTTGTAAATAATTCCAATAATGTATCTAATATGTATGTTTCTTATGATCATAAGCACTGGCTAGTGGCCTTAAAAAAATATCTTCATAATTGTGGTATTTCAGGAAAATACTACATTATGACCGCTAGATGGAGCTGATGATCTCAGAGAATACACTTATTAGGTACAATACGGACATTATTCACAAAAAGTGTGCACATTTTGTGTAAATAGATGTCTAAGAGTTTTAACTCACTCTGACATGCTTGTTCTATGCTAGTGCCTCAGAAGAAATAAAACCAGCGACAGCCAGGTAACTAGTTTTCTTTGAAGGACGTCAGCAATAGCTTCCCCCATATACCTCAATACAAGCACAGTATACCCTTAGTATGTGAGACATACAAAACTGCTGTAAATGGGGCTGGATATTGCTGTTGTACATATTTATGTTATTAATTACAGACTGAGATAAAAAATTATATATATTTTTAGTGAAAGCTTGTTAAAACACCGTTCTAATTTATTACACATAATTATTGAATTATGTAAATGAATATGGGGTGTTTTTCACAAACTTTCACACTTCTGTCATGTTCGTGGACCATCACCATCTGCCTTGACACATTTTATGACAACATAGTTATTGGATTGAAGTGATTGAGTTACTTGGGTGGCTATAAATACTAAAAGATATTAATCTGAAGTGACAATACCACCCCGAATGAGTGCTGACACATCTTCAACATTACAGAACAAGTCCAGTTGAATGTAAGAGCTATAAAACTTTTTTCAGATTTTGGTAGACTGGGGAAGGATTATAAGCCCTGTGTGGTTTTTGCCAATATCTGGGGCTACAATAGTGAGATTTCTCCTAACTTTCTGTTCTTCTGGTCAGGAAGTTATAAAATACATACAAAAAATAAAAAAGGCCATTTTAAGGAGAGCAGAGAAAGGCCAGAACCCCTGTTAGATTTATATTTCTGTCTTTGTCCCTATTGCTGATTTTTCTGTTAACCTGTGGAGTGAGACAGGAAATAAACTGGGGGGAAAGCTCTCTAAAAGGAGAGAGGGGGGTTCTAAACCTCCCAACTCTACCCATAATTTTTAATAAATCACTATATGTACAATATAAAGTCTACCTGGTCCTGGACTATTGAGATCAAACTATTTACATACTCTTAACAAGCAGTAAGGGGACTTTACAAAAAAACCCTCTTTCCCCTAGCTGCTTTTAATGTGAAGTTATTCATTCTCAAATATCACAATAACAAAGACTCTAGAGTTGGGTTTTAGTTGGTTTCTAAGTTTGCTGTCTATTTAAATTGGATGGCAAGATCTGCTCTCATAGAAAAAAAACAAAAATTTCAATGTCTGTGTTGTGAATTTAGAAAATTAAATTTCTCCACAATGCTTAAAGACACAGAGATGAATGGGGGCTTGTTTTAAAGCAATTGTACTGCTTAAATGTGTAAATACTTCAGTGTCATAATTTGGGCATAGGTTAAATTAAACATAAAAACATAAAATAAAATTGACCTATGTAGTGTCCACTCCTACTCTTTGCTGGCTCTGCTGGTTAGCACCAAATATTTTTACCCCCACAAGTACAGATATATAAAATATGAAACTGCTGGATTTTTCAGCCTGAACATTTGACACAGCCAGCCCGATCTGATGCAGATATATCTATAAAATTGTCAGGACTCTGTATACAGGTTTTTACCTGCACTCATAAACAGAGCTGATGTATGAAATGTTGGGTGACTTCCCACTGAAGTGCCAAAATCATTGTGCTGTGCATCCCCATCCTTCCCTCAGCAAATCTTCAAACATTTTACTACAATCTACCATAAGGTGCAAAACAATGCACTACAATTGTATCAATATGAGCCAAAGGTAGTATTTGACTTACTTGTCTTCTGTCCATAAGTGCACCAATTTATACCTGCCACACTATGAGGCTGGTTAGAAAAAAAAACCTCATTTTAACATTTTCAGGAGGATTCAAAAAGTTTTCTTTTACCATGCTGTGATTGTTGTCTCCGTACTGCCCATTGGGATTGGCAAGGTGGCAGTTCTTGTACCAGAAGGCTCCACGATGTGAAAGGGCACAGTTAGTGAGAGCTATATCATTATCCTTGTCCCAGGTTGTGAACTTCCATCCATTGTGGTATCCAAGGGCATCACCTGTTCAGGAAAGAGAGGAGAGAGGTTGATAGAACTACATGCAATCACGTGACACTAGATTTCCCAAATTAATACTGATAGGTAAGTGGCTTACAGTGCTCAGCATAAATGAGTACACCCCTTTTGAAAAGTAAGATATTAATCAATATCTCAATGAACACAAGAACAATTTCCAAAGTTTTGACACAACTGAGTTTTATAGAACATTTGTTTAGCTCATTACATGAAAGTAATATAACTTGGATTACAAAATCTTCAGTTTTACTCAAATTAGTTGATGCAAATATGAATACACCCCACAACAAAAACTACTACATCTAATATTTTGTATGACCACCATGATTTGTAACCAAGTCTTCTAGGCATGGAGTAAACAAGTTGACGACATATTGCAACATCTACCTTTTTCCATTCTTCAAGAACAATGTTTTTTAGAGCCTGGATGGAGAGTGATGCTCAGCTTGTCTCTTCAGAATTCCCCTTAGGTGTTCAACTGGGTTCAGATCATGAGACATACTTGGCCACTGAATCACTTTCACCCTGTTCTTCAGAAATGCAACAGTGGCCTTAGATGTGTGTTTTGGATCATTGTCATGTTGGAAAAGTGCATGACGACCAAGGGCATGGAGTGATGGTAGCCTCTTCTCTTTCAATATAAAGCAGTACATCTGTGAATTCATGATACCATCAATGAAATGCAGCTCCCCAACACCAGCAGCACTCATGCAGCCCCACACAAGGACACTGCCACCACCATGTTTCACTGTAGGCACTATGCATTTTTCTTTGTACTTCTCACCATTGCGACACCATACAGTTTTGAAGCCATCAGTTCCAAAACCATTTATCTTGGTCTCTTCACTCCAGAGTACAGAGTCCCAGTAGTCTTCTTTTTTTTCAGCATGGGCCCTGGCAAATTCTAGGTGGTCTTTTTTGTGCATGGGCTTTAGGACAGGCTTCCTTTGTGGATGACACCTATGCATGCCATTCCTCTGCAGTGTACACTGTATTGTGCCACGGAAAACAATCACCTCAGTTTGGCTTTCTACTTCTTTAGCCAGCTGCAGTGAACTTACATGGCGATTTCCTTCAACCCTTCTCATCAGAAGACGCTTTTGTCGAGGTGTTGACCTCTGTGGACAGCCTGAACGTCTCTGTGAGTTGGTTGCAGTTCCATCTTTGTATTACTTTTACTACAGTATTCTGACTGATAAGTAAAGCTTTTCAGATCTTCTTGTAGAATTCATCTTTCTTGTGTAAAGAAATTATTTTCTTTCTCAAGCCTTGTGACATTTGTCTTCCATGTGGTGCCATTGCTGACAGCATGAAATGGGAAGGGGTTTTCTTTGTTAAGAAACACTGTTTCTTAGTCAGCTATTTGCTGGACACCTGTTTAATGAATAATTAGACTCAACTGTAGTTGAATTCTTGTTAATTAGGATTTTGTTGTCTAAAATTTAGCTTTGCTCCTAAGACTTTTATTGGGGTGTATTCATTTTTGCAGCATGGTCTTGTATGAATTTCTTAAGAAAAATAATTTGTTGTGTGTGCAAATTAACAAATCTTGTCTGCAATCAATGGCCCGCATTTGTGGGAGTATTTTGTAGTATAGTGTCCCATAGAAAATGTTGATTCTGAAAGGAAAGTTAAGATTTTCTGACAAATCTGTTGGGGTGTACTCATTTATGCTGAGCACTATATATACAAATTACAATGTAATATATTGCCATTTACCAGTCCTTAGATATGGTGGCTGCATTAGTTTTCTTTTTTTTTTAATCAGGTTTTTTTTACTTTAATATCACCTGGTAATGCTGTCAGTAACACTCTTCCTGTCCTAGGGTAACAAGGCTCACACATACTGTATCTATGGAGGAGAAGCATTGTCACCCTAGTTGGGGACGTGTGCAAAGACCAGTTATAGCTTGTGGTGCTTGCCATTTAATTGTACAGTTGGTGAATTGGTGAGGGGATGCACTGGATAACTTTGCTGCCATTGTGCTATTGCTGGGTGTCCTATGCATCCCTATGCCTTTAAGGAGGGATGGGCTCCCTCCAGGCATACCTGCCCTTAACCTATATATGATTATATATGTGCTCCAGCTTTAAAGACTCTCAAAATGTACAGATTTAGGACTGCAGTACATTGGGGTGTTATGATGTGGCCACTGCTGCTTACACATATATTTTCAAATGTATGCAAACTAAACCCTTTGTTTTAACATGACCTGTTAGACAGGGTTAATTTGGTTTGTTGCAGGCTGACTGGTAAGTGAGCTGGGATTTTTTGTTTTTTTGACATGCGTCGCCCCCATCCAAGTGCTCCTTGCTGCAAAGGCCAACTATAGGTTGGGGTGGTTTCCATTTGATTGTACTGTAGGATACAGAACACCTCCTCATTTCAATAAAATGGGGGTGGGGGGGGGGGTTGTAAATCAACACAAAGGAGATAACATACAGTCAGTAGGATGTGTACTTTATGAAGATTCATCTGCTGTTTCTATGGCAGCAAGAGGGGGGGGGTGGAGGGAATCATGGACAGAAGAGAATTTTTACTAACAGAAGAGGAATCAGCACAAGGGGAACAAACTACAGACTGTAAGTTATGTCCCCTCTGCTGATTTTTTTTATTTCTAGCTACATCTAGGTTTTAATGACTTTAAAGTGATTGTAAACCTACATTGTTTTATAACAAGCATGTTATACGTACCTGCTCAGTGCAGTGGTTTTGCACAATGAAGCCCTGATCCTCCTATTCTTGGGTCCCCCATTGGCGCTCCTGGATCCTCCTCCCTGCCGAGTGCCCCCCAGTAAGTAGCTTGCTATGCAAAGCTTGCTCTAGAGCTGTGCTCTGTGTGTACATTGGCACACACAGTGCAGCTCAGCCCTGCCCCCACTCTCTCCTCACTGGCTGTGATTGACATCCCCAATCTAAGGTTATTCTATCACTGTAAAGAAAAGATTTGTATACTTACCTATTCTAACGTTGCACCATCCGGTCTCCAGTGGCAGCTTCTGTGTCCAGGAGAGATCACCAACAGCTGTAAATGCCTGGGCAATGACGTCAGCCATAGGCTTACTATGGGGTATCAGTTGTCAGCTGCTCCACTACACAGAAGCCGCCACTGACAACTGATCCTGGGACCAGACCAGCTTCCGAATAGGTAGGTATACAGATCTTTTCTTTACAGGGTTAGATTAAATAGTCTAAGAATGGGGGTGGGAGTAGATTTAGCCTTCGTTAGGTTTTGGCTGAACTTCTACTTTAATGCATAGAATGCATTAAGGTAAAAAACCTTCTAGCTTTACAAACACTTTAAAGACTTTAAAGTCACTGCTTTTTTTTTCTCTTCTACCTTTCTCTCTTCTTCTGTTCCCTCTTCCTTGACTATCTCTACTCGGTATTATTTAAAAAAATAAAAATGGGCAGCAGAGTCCCACTCCATCAACTCCATGTGAGGTGGTCTCTCTCAGCGGTTCGGTCCTCTGAAGGGACCCTGTGTCTACAGAATCATGACCTATGTTATGTATTATATTCTGACGTTGTCATGTTGATTTGTGATATATTTGCTGTTTGAACATCATTGTCTTTGCTTAACCATTCCTATGGAATTGGTGGACATCTACAGCTCTATACAAATAAATAAAAAAAAAAAAAGACTGGTCACTGCTGCTCTCTCTCCTTGTGCAGGGTGACTGGTCCTGCCTCCCCCCCCACACCTGTTTTGTGCAGGAAGCCTATAGTGGGTGGGGCAGGCTTGGTCCCTCCCACAGTTCTGCTCTCTAAAGAGGCCATATACAGCAAAGTGATGATGTTACTGCTATTGTTTGGGCTTGTAAAGGCAAAGGTGCACACAAAATGGATTTACATCCTCTTCGACTATTGAGAAATATGTTTAAAGGAATGTTTTTGAGTCTGCAATTCAGCTTTAAGCTCACGGAAAGCGACAAAGACACTGCATTTGTGGCAAGATCAACAGGTATTTCCTGTACTTGCTGAAATGTTTCTTAAAAGAAAGCCTGGAAAGGAAAAACTAATGCAGTCAAAACATCTACAGACTGGCAGTGGAAGTGATGGCAGTCAACAAACTTGTTTAGATTCAGTTCAAGTTCAGAAGCCACTGGAACAGCATAACATTTAAGCAATTAGCAATTTTTCGAAGGCAAGGTCAGTAGTGTCTGCCTGCATATTTTGTATCACCACAGGATTCTTTTGTTTTGATATTTACATATACAATGCCTTGAAAACTTATTCATACCCCTTGAAATCTTCCACATTTTGTCATGTTACAACCAAAAAACGTGAATGTATTTTATTGGGATTTTATGTGATAGACCAACACAAAGTGGCACATAATTGTCAAGTGGAAGGAAAATGATAAATGGTTTTCAAATTTTTTTTACAAATATCTGAAAAGTGTGGTGTGCATTTTTCTTTAGCCCCTCTTTACTCTGATATCCCTAACTAAAATCTAGTGGAATCTAAAATCTATTGGAACCAATTGCCTTCAGAAGTCATCCAATTAGTAAATAGAATCGACCTGTGTGTAATTTAATCCCAGTATAAATACAGCTGTTCTGTGACGCCCTCAGAGGTTTGTTAGAGAACATTAGTGAACAAACAGCATCATGAAGGTCAAGGAACACACCAGACAGGTCAGGGATAAAATTGTGGAGAAGTTTAAAGCAGGGTTAGGTTATAACAAAATTATCCCAAGCTTTGAACATCTCACAGAGCACTGTTCAATCCATCATCCGAAAATGGAAAGAGCATGGCACAACTGAAAACCTACCAAGACATGGCTGTCCACCTAAACTGACAGGCCGGGCAAGCAGAGCATTAATCAGAGAAGCAGCCAAGAGGCCCATGGTAACTCTGAAGGAGCTGCAGAGATCCACAGTTCAGGTGGGAGAATCTGTCCACAGGACAACAATTAGTCATACACTCCACAAATCTGGCCTTTATGGAAGAGTGGCAAGAAGTAAGCTATTGTTGAAAAAAAGCCATAAGAAATTCCGTTTGCAGTTTGCGAGAAGTCATGTGAGGGCACAGCAAACATGTGGAAGGTGCTCTGGTCAGATGAGACCAAAATTGAACTTTTTGTCCTAAAAGCAAAACGTGTGATGGAAAACTAACACTGCACATCACCCTGAACACACCATGGAAGTTGATGGAAAGATGGATGGAGCCAAATACAGGGCAATCTTAGAAGAAAACCTGTTAGAGTCTGCAAAAGACTTGAGACTGGGGCGGAGGTTCACCTTCCAGCAGCACAACGACCCAAAACATACAGCCAGAGCTACAATGGAATGGTTTAGATCAAAGCATATTCATGTGTTAGAATGGCCCAGTCAAAGTCCAGACCTAAATCCAATTACAAATCTGTGGCAAGACTTGAAAATTGCTGTTCACAGACGCTCTCCATCCAATCTGACAGAGCTTAAGCTATTCTGCAAAGAAGAATGGGAAAAAATGTCTCTCTCTAGATGTGCAAAGCTTGCAGAGACATCCTCAAAAAGACTTGCAGCTAGAATTGCAGTGAAAGGTGGTTCTACAAAGTATTGACACAGGGGGCTGAATACAAATACTTCGCCACATATTTCAGATATTTATTTGTCAAAAATTTTTAAAACTATTTCTCTTTTTCCTTCCACTTCACAATTATGTACCACTTTGTGTTGGTCTATCACATAAAATTCCAACAAATTGCATTAACGTTTTTGGTTGTAACATAACAAAATGTGGAAAATTTCAAGGGGTATGAACACTTTTTCAAGGCACTGTAAGCTTGGTCATGGCTTGATTACCTCAAATGGACCTTTAAAAGGTGTCACTCCACCCAACACTGGATCACACATCAACTTCTTTTATCTCATGAAACACCATTGGTGAGAATTCCCTGTTGTAGCTTCCAAGCCCACTATGCAGTTTCACATCTTTTGTCACAAGCTTCATAATGATAGATACATGAGGCAGCCACTGCTGGAAACTCAGTGGAGTGGGTGATTTACTACACCAACATCTATCAAAACTGAAATATTTTGGGTGCAATTTCATAATATTGAGCTAAGGATTGCTTTACCAGCTGTGCCTGAGTAGTCCCCGATGGTTAGCTTGTATCTGTCCTTAGATGTCCCCACACGGAAGTTGCGATAAACGGCATAAGCTGATTCATTTGCAGTACGGAGATCCACACGCAGTTCATACTGCACAGGGGTGGAAGTAAGTTTATGCATCCATTCCAGACCTACAATGACATATACAAAAAGGTGATGCCAGTACTGATGTGTATGTATAGCCAAAACCTTTGGTTTTCCATTCAGGATTGAGTAAGGTAGGGTTAAAACACCTGTCAGGATATTTATCCTTCGCTTCCTGACCTAGAGACACAACAGGAATCTGTGTCTCTAGGACAAAACATAGTGAGGAGAATATCTGTCTTGGAGAGTTGTCAACAGAAAATTTGTCTCTATTGGATGATAAACCCTCACCTCTTGCTCTGGTGACAACTCTAACATTTTTAATTTCCCATTTCTTTTTGTCTCAGTGACAGTGCTCACCAGAACGAAACAGATGGGTAAATCGCCCCATTGAGGACACAATTAGAAATAAAAACCTTAAGAAGGTCTAACCGTTCTTTTTACATATATTTATGGGCCCAGGTTGATGGGCTTTGGAGCTTGTGTTGACGACATAATTTTGAGATGTTTCTGAGATCATTCAAAATTCATTGGCATGTACATTTGACCTACATGTTTGGTAGGTGCAGAATGATGTAGCAGCCATAAACAAACAGAGGCCCGGATTGTCTGAAACTATTTTTTTGCAAAGGTTGAAAAATAGTACAAAAAGCCTGGCGGAGAGATTCACTTACGGCAGTTCAGAGAAGAATCAACGGTGAGTAGGTCCGAGCTACCGAAAGCGCATGTCAAGGGCGGAGGGGTGCGGCATGGCCAGTCCAACCCAAAGGGCAGCTTGCTATAGAAGAAGACGTAGGCCCTACGGTTTCCCTGCTCCTTAGGAACCTTTCCCTACCACTAGTGCTATCCCTGACAGAGAGTATCCTGTCCATACACTAGCCACCCACACAAAGTGTGCCAAAACCTGGGGGAAGAGACTTAAAAATACTGTTTTTGACCCAAGATGACTGCCAGAGTCACCTGGATCCAGAGCATCCAACCAGATCACTGCTCCAAGGGACTGAAAAAACCATAGAGAAACCCAGTTTCTCTTTATTTCGTCCTCCAGTTGCAATGCCGCATCAGATGAGCGCTACCTGCAGTGGAGATTGTAGACTACACCCACGCACATGCAGTTCACACCTTTCAACCTGTTTCAAGCTGGTTTGGCATAGATAAGTATGGGAACACAAAACCCATTTGAAGTGAAGGAAAGTTCATCAACACAAGCCCTCTGTGTATGTGCATATGCTTTAAAAGCATATTACGTGGTTAAACCCAAAAATGTGTACCCAATAAAACAACTATGGGATCTCTTTATAAAACACTGGTTGGATGAATGTTATGCACATTCATGCAGGCTGGATACATTTTCCCTGTATTTCTTTAGTATATTAATTTCTATGATTGTCAGCTTCATACAAAATACAATATAGTTTTCTGAAACACCTCAATGAATAAATATACTGCATTTTAGCTACTAGGACAATTTTCTATCACAGAAAATAAAGGAATAATTTGTCTAGCCTCCATGAATGTGTGTAACATTCATCCAACCAATGTTTTATAAATAGACCCTAATAGTTTCCTTTTAAAATACTCTGCAGACAAAACATTGTTAAGGATAGGGAGTGTATGTATAGTTTGAATGTCTGAAAAAAACATGTTTTTACCTTTTTTTTCTAAGTGTACATTTAAATCTCAAAGGTTTATTCTGAAAGCACCATTATGTCATAATGTCCCAGTTTATCCTACTGGTCTCATTAAATTAATGGGACATACACCAATGGTATGCAGTACCCTGCTAACAATCAATGAGAATTCACCCTACATGATCTATCTAAGATTGACATTTTATTGGCAGTTAGGGGTCATTTCACTTTTAAATTAACCATTCCTTGTAAACTGGTCTGTTTAATTAAGCTGTATGGTGCTTACCAAGCCAGAACTCATCACTTGGGTCTCCAAAGCCTTCCACATATGTCCTCCAGCGCTGATAGAAGTCAAGTGTTCCACTAGTTCTTCTCTGTATAACCTGTATAAAAATGTTGGATAATAACAGTATGAGGATTTGAATGGTTCATAGTCACCATTAAGAACTCACTGCTCAGTATATAATGGTATTGGGGCAGTAATAAAGCAGTTTAAATTTGTATTGATTTTCCCTTTGCCTTGTTTAACCATTTTTTTCTAATTCTTTTTTTAAGACAAATGACAATTGCAAACATAAAATAAATCGCAAATTCTGCTAACAGCACAATACCATTCAGCACATTGGGGTTGATTTACTAAAAGTGGAGAGTGCAAAATCTGGTGCAGCTGTGCACAGAAACCAATTAGCTTCTGTGTTTTATTGTCAAAGATTAATTGAACAAGCTGAAGTTAGAAGCCGATTGGCTGCCATGCACAGCTGCACTAGCTTTTGCATTCTCCAGTTTTAGTAAATCAACCCCATTATGTTTTTTATCAGCAATCATCTCAAATTAACATCTGAAACATAGGGGTTGATTTCATAAAAAAGGAGTGCGCAAGATCTGGTGCAGCTGCAGATGATAGCCAATCAGCTTCCAATGTCAGCTTGTTCAATTAAGCTTTGACAAAAGAAACTGAAAGCTGATTGGTTTCTATGCAGTACTGCACCAGATTTTGCACTGTCCAGCTTTAGTAAATCAACCCCATAGCGTCGTGGTCTGTCATTCAACAATTTTTATTTTTTAGCTCAGGGAGGGCAATTGCACCAAATGGTATCACTAAAATACATTGTACCTGAGATGTCTGGTATTTTATTTTAGCTTGGATAGCTGGTGAAGGGACTAAAGCTGACCATACAAGCATAGATTTATTTTGTTCAGCCCACAGGCCGAACAAAAGAAATCTAGCCATACCCCCTGCTGGCTATTGTATCCTGAAAGCCAACACCCAGGGATTTCAGAATACCTGAACAGTGATTGCAGCTGATTGGCTGCAGTCACTGTCAAGCTGTCAAATTTCCACCCAGTTCCTTTGACCTTCAGATTGAAGTTTATCAAGCCAAATGGTGCCTGTAGGGCCACCCACACATTTTCAACCGATTCAACAGTAAAAGAGACAAAATGTGATCTGTGCATGGCCAACCTAAAGCTATTTAGTCAATGCGATTTTACATAGTTACATTGATCCAACTTTGACTTTTGTAAGTATGTATATGCCATACTTGAGAGATCCCTGTGGAAGTTGGAAATCTCTCTTGTAGGCGCTGCTACTCCAGTGATTGCCACTGGGTTCTGCTGCTCTGTTGCCTACTGAATGCAGGAGGTTGCACGATCACTCACCCAGCAAGGGCACCATTCAGAAAAAACTTTGCATTTTCTTAATGTATGTAAGTGTTCTCTACTTGGATGAAGTGGAGATTATGATGTCACCTCCCTGCCTCTCTGCCGTGTCCATTCAAAGAATGCTTAGCATTAATTGATAAAATGCTAGTGTTCCCTAAATGGTGCTCAAGCTGGGCAAGGGACCCATGTATTTATAGTGCAGCAGGGCAGAAGCTCAGCATGGGACCTGAAAGCTAGTGGAGATCACTAAAAGAAGCAAACCTGGTTTCCAGCTTCTAGAACAGAGCTTCTCAACCAGGGTTCCATGGTACTCTAGGGTTCCTTCAGAGGTTCATAGGGGTTCCCTTGAGCAATGACCAATTTTACCTCTCAGATAAGTTCCCACTGACACCATTGACATTTTTAGCTATCTGTAATGGGATAATTCTTTCCAATGACCACAAGTGTAAGGAGCATTCTTCCCACTGACTATTACACCAATGTATCATGAGTTATAGATATAGTAATTTTTAGCAGGAGTTCTCTGAGTTTGGAAAATTATTTCAAGGGTTCCTCTGTGCTGAACATTTTGAGAAAGACTCTTCTAGATGGATCCTACAGGTATGGCACATACAGGAGCGGACTGACAACTCATGGGGCCCCCGGGCAATAGTAAATCATGGGGCCCCTGTGTCCTCACCCACACTCAAACCACAGCCTATGAAATGTACCAGGGGCATCTCATGGGGCCCCCTACTGACCCTGGGCCCTCAGGCAGTGCCCAAGTGGCTAAATGGTCAGTCCGCCCCTGGGCACATACATAGCTACATTGACCCAAGCTGGACCAATGTAGCTATGTGTGGTTCACACCTGTGTGGGCCGCACGGCCTGCATTTGTGCAAGCCCAGCAATGCAGTCATCTGAATGGACTGTAGTGCCTGCGTTTTCCACAAGAATAGGTGCATGCCCCTTTTTAAAAACCCAGCTGCAGTTCACACACACACAAACATGCTGCGGCTGAGATACATAGGGGAACCATTCAGGATGAAAGGCTGCCCCATAGTTCTCATAAGAGCAGTGCAATTTGGCTGCAGGTGGTTGCGGGTGGGGGAACAGATGCAATATTTGTATCCAGGGCTAAGGGTAAAAAGGGTCACTGTCAAGGGCAGTCTAATAGCCCCAAGTGGTAAGAGGTAAAAAAAAGTACAAAGGGGGTGAAGCAAATAGGAAATTTACCTTTTAAACAACTCGTACACTCCCTCATCATCTCACGCCTGGACTACTGCAAATCCCTTCTCACTGGCCTACCCAAACAAACGCTATCCCCACTCCAGTCTATCCTGAACTCAGCGGCGAGACTCATCCACCTCACCAACCGCTCCACATCTGCCACCCCCCTCTGCCCATCCCTTCACTAGCTCCCGATTGCCCAGCGCATCAAATTCAAATTACTAACTCTGACTTACAAAGCCATTCACAACGCTGCCCCAAACTACCTAACTGACCTGATACCCAAATACCACCCTATCCATGCCCTTCGCTCCTCACAGGACCTCCTACTCTCTAGCTCCCTGGTCTCCTCCTCCCACGCCCGACTGCAGGACTTCTCCAGGACGTCCCCCATCCTCTGGAACTCCCTACCCCAATCCATCAGACTGTCACCTACCCTCCTCACCTTCAGGCGCACCCTGAAAACCAATCTCTTCAGGGAAGCCTACCCCATCCTCACCTAACAACTAATCTCCTTCACTTCTCCCACCACTCCATCCCCCACAGCCACTTCCTCCTGTACCACTTTCCCCTCCCTCCTAGATTGAAAGCTCTAAAGGGCAGGGCCCTCAAACCCCTCGTGTATTGTATTGTTACCGTTTTGTCTCATGTTCTGTCCCCCTTGCTTTTGTACAGCGCTGAGCAAACCCTTTGGCGCTATATAAATACTGTATAATAATAATTTTAAGGGGGAAAATATTTATCCACTTTTAACCAGTTTGGATGAATTTAGCAGCAAATCGAAAGAGTGGAAGAGTATTAATATTAATAAATGTTGGTTGGTAAGTTGTATGGTCAGTGATGGCTCTGCATATAATGCAGTCCATTTTTGTATATAAAGCTAGTAGCATGCTCTAATGATGACTTTTAGTTTACATGTCCAGATGATAAAAAAAGGGGTGAACAATTTGGCAAGACTGTCATTTGGACAGTTGTCTAGGGCAGCCTGATTTCTGAGAGATGCAGAACTTAGGAGCACTTACAGTCCATCCACCGCCATCTGTATCCTGATCGCAGTACACTCTAATGCCCTTTGAGTTCTCTCCTCCAGGGTAGATAGTATACACTCCGCTCTTTCTGTTGCCCGACATTCGAACTTGGACACAGTCCACAGGGAAGGTAATGGCCATAGACACTGGTATTGGGAAGAGAAACCATACATAAAGATGCACAAAAACCTCACTGTCTCTACTGTATATAGGTAGTCCCCGGTTACAAACAAGAAAGGTTCTGTAAGTCTGTTCTTAGGCTGAATTTGTGTATAAGCTGGAACAGGTACATTTTTTAAGTGTAACTCAAGCAAAAGCATATGGATAGCATAGGGAAGAGTTAACTGGCCATGCAGTGATGTTGGATTGCTGACAGGTCCACCGGACAGTAGGTTGCAGCATGCGGTGAGCAGCCAGATGGCCACCTGTCAGTTTCCAGGACTAGTGTGATGTCACGCTGCTGTATGTAACTTGAGTGTTTGTAACTCAGGGACTGCCTGTATATATCTTTTTTATTCATTGGCATACCCCTTCTGATAAATAAGTCCAGTTATAAAATGAGGTCTAATAATAAAAGTAGACTTCATAAAGTGAGATAAGCATAACTTTTTGCCTGTACAGTATTTTCCTATAAATGTTAAGATTAAGCATTTAGCCATCTGCAGCTTCAAATGTTAAAGTGTATCTCAAACTAAAACTTTTTTAGTTCTGGCTAGGGTAAAGAAGGGCTAGAATCTCTGTCAACTGTTGTTGTTGCTTGTTTCCCCGTTGGAGAGATTCTCCTTCTCTATATACCTTGGTGACCACTGTCATCAGGACTGAAAGTGATGGGAAAATCCAAAACTTGGAGATATCACAAGAATAGGAGGGCAAGAGAGGGAATTTTTCAATACAGATACTATATAAGAGGAAAATCCCCTTATTTTTGAGAGATTTCCTTTTACTTCCTGACACAGGTGGTAAAAAAAATGATGGGGGTGTAACCATTGCCTTCTTTATAGAAACGAAAAGCACAGCACAACTACACATAAATTTGGACCTATCCATAGGGGTTCTCACATTGGGCCCCTTTTATAAAGTCTTTCTTTCACAGATTTTGCCTGTTGGTCTTCTACGACATATTTTCATTTTACAAATAGTACGAGTGCTTAGTCTATTTTAGGCCAGGGGTGGCCGTGCGGGCCGCAAATTTGCACTGGCACAAGGACCTATTCATTTGAAAGGACTCTCGTGCCCCCGAACACGCAGGGAAGAAGCCCCCTCACTTCTTTGGAAAATCGAGGTTCCCAGTATGGTTACTATTTCTAGTGCGGGCGGCGTGCCATTTGAATTAATGGAACCTGCCCGCAGGTCCCACATTCCTCTGTGTGGGTGGTACAGCTGCAGGTATTTGTGTGGGTCCCACAGCAGCAACACCCGCACAGATGTAAACCAAGCCTTAGTGAAATCAAAAAAGGATTTTATTTGCCTTATGTTACTAATGAGCAGCCTCACATCCTTAGTTTTCTTTATATTAGTGAAAAGTTACAAAAACAAATTGTTTAAAAACATGTTTTTTTTTTTCAAGTAAAACTGTTGCACAATGATTTTTTTTAATAATTTGTTTAGTCTGCTGACTAAACAAATTATTATGAAAATTAAATAATTGTGCAACAGTTTTACTTGACAAAAAACATGTTTTAAACATGTAAGCATTTGAAAGAAAGCTCAGCTTTCTTTCAAATGCTTACCGCTTCTCCTTTGATGTGAAATGTTGCTGTTTACCAAGTCCTATAACTAATGTTTTAAATTACACCCATAAGCAAATTAATCATAGCAGTGACTAAACCCTTATGAAGGCTGGTCCCAGGTTTCAAACAGATGAAGAGAGACTCTAGACAGGAAGCTACTGTTGCAATGTCTTTTTAGATGACCCATCGTACTCTGGGAATTCTTTGTCATGTAATATATATACACACATATTTATATACACAAACTATATTGCCAAAAGTATTGGGACATCCCTTCAAATTATTGGATTCAGGTGTTCCAATCACCTCCATGGCCACAGGCAGAGGCAGACTGACAACTCATGGAGCCTCGGGGCAATAATAGATAATGGGGCCTCCTACACTTGAGCCACACCCACTCAATTCCCCACCTACATATTGCAGCTCAGCAGCATAGAAGGGGCATTTAGATATTTACTGCAGCAAAGCCTGCATGAATGTTCACCGCTTCTTTCCTTAGAAGCCACTGGGTACTTTCAAGTTTAAAGATGGCTGCCATGTGGGGGGAGTAAGAGAGAGAGGGGGGGAGAGAGAAGAAGGGATGAGGGGAGTGAGAGAGTGTGAGAGATTGGAAGTGAGAGAGGAGGTGAGAGAGGGGGAATGAGATAGAGGGAGGGTGGGGATGGGGTGAGGGAGAGAGAAAGGGAGATGACAGAGGGAGGGCAGTAAGAGCAAGAGGGGGGGTGAGGGGGGGTGATAGAGAGAGAGGGGGTGAGAGCGAGCAAAGGGGTGGGGGGTAGAGGAGAAAGGGGAGGTAAGAGGGGAGGGGGTGAAAAAGAAGGAGGGCAGTTAGAAAGAGGGGGGAGAGAGGAGGGAGTGAAAGAGAGAAAGGGGAGATGACAGAGGGAGGGCAGTGAGAGAAAGGGGAGGGGGTGAGAGAGAGAAAGATGAGATGGCAGAGGGGGGTGAGAGAGAGAGAAGGGGGTGAGAGAGAAGGGTGAAAGAGAGCGGGAGAGAGAGTGGGGGGGTGAGAGGGAAGGGGGTGAGAGGGAGAGAGTGGGTGGTGAGAGAGAAAAGGGATGAGAGCAACAGAGGGGTGGGGGGGCGAGAGGGAGGGGGTGAAAAAAAGGGGGTGAGAGAGAGAGCGGGGGGTGGTGAAAGAGGGAGGGCGGTTAAAAAGAGAGGGAGGGAAGGGGGAGAGGAGGGAGTGAAAGCAAAAAATGACAGAGGGAGATCAGTTAGAGAAAGAGGGGGGTGAGAGAGAGACGGGTGAAAGACAGAGAGAAAAAGGTTAGAGAGAGGGCAGGAAAGAGAGAGAGTGGGGGATGAGAGGGAGGGGGTGTGAAAAAGAGAGAGTAGGGGTGGGAGAAAAGGAATGAGAGGACAGAGAGTGAGGGGTGAGAGGGAGGGGGCGAGAAAGGGGGTGAGAGAGAGGGAGGGGTGAGAGGGAGGTGAGAGAGAAAGTGGAGTGAGTGAGGGTGAGAGAGAGGGAGGGGACCAAAAGGGGGAGTGAGAGAGAGAGTGGCTCCTTATCCCCCCATACTACACCAGGAGACCCCTCATTACACCAAAATTTACTGGGTAAGCACCCCAAACTCAAATTTTTTACTGTAGTCTGTAAATTCCTATTAGCAGGGTGCAGGGTTCCCTGACCATCAGCCGTGGTAATAGGAGTCAGTGTCATTTAGTGTACCAATAACATTATGGACTCCTCTCACCAGGGGCATATCATGAAATCAGTGGGCTTGTGCGCAAGATCAAAAGTGGGCTCCAAGCAATGATAAAGAAAAAATATGGTGTGCGCAGCGCACCGCAGCAAAAAGTCAGTGTGGTTGAAATTGTGCTAAAAATTGGGCGTGGCTTGAAAGGGATGTGGTTAAAAAGTGTCTGAGATGACTTCCATAGTGCACACTGAAGAATGTGGTAATGTTAAATAAGGAATGTACAGTGTGGAGTGTATGGCGGCAGGTAATATGTACAGGGAGAGGAGTGCAGAGTGTAGGGTGGTGGGTAGTATGTGCAGGATGGTGTCAGTAAGGCAATGGATAGTGTCAGTAGTTCTTTTTTTTTCAATTTTAGGATTTTTTTTACCATTTGTTTTATTATTTTTATCACTTTTTCAAAATGCTTTTTGGTGGCTAGTGGGTGGTGTCAGTAGAGCAATGGAGTGGGTGTCAGGATATTTTTATTATTTATTTATTTATTATTTAATTTTTTTAATTATTTTTTCCATTTTATTTTTGTATTATTTTTTTCACAATGATTTTGTGGAAGCAGTGGACAGTGTCAGTAGGGAGAGAACAGGGAGCACTAGTATATGTCTCCACATGAGACTAACTATTACCATAGGCTGATGACACAAAACTAAACTTCTTTGGCTGCACTCATGAATGCTGTTGCTGGATGACAAAAATAGGAAAGAGGAGGAGAGGAGGGATAGAAATTTGGGAGGGAAGGAAGGGAGAGAGGGAGGGAGGGAGGGATAAAGGAAGGAAAGGAAGAAAAGGGAGGGAGGGAATGGATGGAGGAAGGAATGAAGGGAGGGAATGGATGGAGGAAGGAATAAAGGAAAGGAAATAAAGGAAATAAAGGAATAAAGGAAAGGAGGGAGGGAGGGAGGGAGGAAGGGAATGGATGGAGGAAGGAATGAAGAAAGGGAGGGAGGGAATGGATGGAGGAAGGAATGAAGAAAGGGAGGGAGGGAGGGAATGGATGGAGGAAAGAATGAAGGGAGGGAGGGAATGGGAATGAGATCCAGGCACACCTTCCAGATAGCCCAGTCAGATCCTCAATTTTCCCTACAGTAGCAGTGCAGCTTGATCAAGATCAAACACCCCCAGCCAGCTGATTGGGCAGTAAAAGAGCAGCATCACACTGATGAGGTAATCTCCCTGCTTATTCCCCTCCCTCCTGTTAGCATATCCACATTAATCAGGTACTCCTACAGCATGTAAAAAGAAAAAATGTTACCAGTAAAGAATGAGGTGGTGGCCTGTCTGCTCTTTTTGTCTCCTTTGTAGGCCTCCAGGTAGATCTTGTAGTCATTTCCTTTCTTCAGGCCCTTCATTTCATAGCTCTTAGCTGCTGCATCCAGTTCAACCTCCTGCCATAGACAAATTAAGTTCCAACAGTAGGTTTCAACATCCCACAGCTCAACTAAGAAACACCTAATGAATTTTGTTTCAACTCTTAAAAAAAACTCTTGATGAACACAGGCTACTACCAACTATGTCAACAGTCCTAGCTAAGACTAAGTCCTCATGCACACTTTACTTACGTTTTTACAGCGGCTGTTTTTGGCTTTTGACGTTTTTTTTCTACAGCTAGTAAGCCCCCCAGCATGTTATCCTATGTGTCCATGCACACATAGATTGTAGTCAACATTTTTTGGCTGGAAAAAAAAACCCAGGACTAGTGGGTTTCTTGAGTTTTTTAGCTGTAAAAAATGCTCCAATGCTGAAAAACAAAGTACAGCGTGACAACCTGGCGTTTTTAGATTTTTTTTGACCCCAAAAAAAATATTTTTTCGGGGTCAAAAAAACCCCTACAAACCGCAAATGTGGAAAAAACACAGGAAAGTGCCGCTAAACACTGCAAAACGCCACTAAACGCTAATGCGTTACACAGTTACCAGTGTTATCAAAACGTCCAATGTGCATGAGGACTTAAGGTGAACCCTGCAAAGCAAAGCATCAGGTTCACTTCAATGCAGCTTCCCCAGCAGCACCTGCTTTCTTACAAGTTTCTAAATGGTAGATTACAAAGGGCCTTTAGACTCCCCAAGTGACAGTGCTGATTGGCCTGGTGCTGTCACATAGAGTGGGTCACATGGTCCTCTGCGTCCAAAAGTATTGGTTAGTTCCTTTGGCTACCATCAATAAATGGAGCAGCTCAGGACGTGTGGAGAAGAGAACACAGTACAACTCTTACTGTCTAAGAAGATTAACAGGTTTTTTTTTGGACTTATTAAACAGATATAACAAAATGCTTCCAATGGTATGTTTAAGACACCAAAAGGGAGAAATAAGAGAAATTCATTGTTAGAGTTTACATACATGACAGATCATGCTTCCAAATCTATTATCAAACATCTTTTTTCCCAAAAATAAGGACTGTTAATGGTCACAGGTGCTGGGTTGTTTTAAAAAAAACTGAAGCAGAGAAAATAGGTGCTAGATGTACTAGATGTTAAAAATACTGTATAATAAACTGCTTACAAATCTCAGTGATGGATCTCAGATGTTGTACCGAATGTAACTTCTGAGATCATTACTTAGATATTAAAGCCGTTTTAAACAAAGCAAGCCTGTATCTCCCCATCTGGCATCGCTGTGATTACCTTTACTGCACAGAGTTTTAGATGCTTTGTAGCATATTTTTCTCAATCATAGTTTTATGTCGCTGTCATTAAAGAGGCCTCATAATAGGAAATAAAACCACTGGGGGTTAAGTAGAGAACGGTAATATTTGTTTACAACCATGACTTGGTTTTGTTTTCCCTAGAAGCTGAAAATAGGGCTGCAGTTACTGATATTTTAAGAGGGTTTGAAAGGCAGAATACGTATTTTTTGCTTGTTATTTTATAAGAAAATGAGCGTCATTATAATGCTAAGAGAGAATAGATGCAATCTATATACAGGAGCCCTGTAAAAAAAATGTTTTACTGGTTTGTACATCTTGCCTTTCACTGATTTTTACATATGGGTTCCAGACACAAAATTATTAAGTGAACATTAAAGGGAAGAACAACAGTATACAGTATATTCATATTTTGAGCTATTATTATATTGTTTACTGTATCGTAATTTTCATAAGACTTTCACATTTTTTTACAATGTTGCCTTTCTATATTTTTCCTATTGGAGTAAAGTAGAAGGAAAGACTGCACAGGCCCACCTGTTAAATCTTGCCTGCCTCTTGCTCTGACACACCCCGTTCAGAGCTTGCAAAAAAATTCCATTTAAATACTTTTTTTTCAGTGTTTCTATTAGATCAAGTAACTTCAAATCCCCCCAACTCAAGACCCTTTCTCTGTGTCTGGTGGGTGTGAATATACCAGCTGACAATGCCTATAGAGCTTTGAATACCAGCATGATGACGTCACTATGGTATGGGATAAGGCAATGTGGATCAGATGTCTGAAAACACTGCTGCACTTGGGTCCTGTTTGCTGCTTGAATTTGTTTTTTCTTTCATTAGATCCTTGATGGTGGCCCGTTTGACTTTGTTTTCTAATTACCTGACGCTTGCCATCACTATCCACATAGATCAGTATGTAGCCATCAATTTGCGCAACAGGGGGAGTCCATGTCAGGGTGGCTTCTGTCTGTGTAATTTCAGAGGCTTGAAGATTCGTAGGTGCATCAATATCTGGAAAAGAGTGAATATATATATACAATTCTAACATACTCAACAAATGTTTATTTCCAGAGACCCTGACATTGGGGAGCTTCAGTAAAAAAATGGGGGATTTGGACATTTGTAAAAACATAAGGAAAGACCCATGCTTCAGCTAACTATGATGTAGGGGTGGACTGACAACTCATGGGGCCCCCGGGCAATAGGGGATCATGGGGCCCCTGTGTCCTCGCCCACACTCAAACCACACCCAAAAAAGCCTATGAAAGGTACCAGGGGCCTCTCATGGGGCTCCCTACTGACCCTGGGCCCTCGGGCAGTGCCCGAGTTCCCAAATGGTCAGTCCGCCCCTGCTATGATGGCGTAAAGTGAGGCACTATCTATGAAAGTGTTAGTAACTGGAACACTTGAAGACACGTCTCCTCCTCCACATTTGTTTTGTGTCTTATTTTAAGTAATACTTTCATTAAAGTGGAACTAAACTCAGAAAGTTAGGACTTACTAAGTTATGGGGAACATTTAGAAATATTGTGCATAAGCAATACTGCAAAATATGCACATTTTAGATTTCACCTGAAGCATAGCAAAACAATTTATGATATATCCACTTGAAGACCGCAATACATATATTTATGTTGCTGCTTTCAAGTGGTATACCAGGATGAAGCCTACAGCTTTATTTCAGTATTGATTTATTTCTCCATGCGATTCTCTTTTATGTAAAATCGATCCTAGCAGCTATTTAGCCACTGTATTGCTTTTACAGGCAGCGGAAGGGGTCATCCTCCCACCGCCCTCTGGTGCCTTTCCGGGTTCTACTGTCCCGCCAGCAAGCCCAGAATTAAGCTAGCTGTTCCACCAGCTTACAATAGAGCTGTTTGGGGACCGCAACACCCCTGACCATCTCTATGGTATAGAAAACCAGAAGCAACGAATATTTCGTCATGTCTAATTTCAGCCGGTTGTTTACCGGCTATTAGTGGCAAAGGTAAGCTTCAGATCTAACCAATTTGAGTTTGTTCTAAAGCTTTCAAGGGCAAGAGATAGACCCCAAATGCCTCAGTAAAGAGGACATGTCACTGCCTATTGATGTCAAAAGACATTCCTTGGGAAGTAAACATAAAAGTAATCAAATCAAATTTTTTTTAAAGGGGCAGTGTAAAAAGAATTAAAAAATTTAATACAATAATATTTTTTTTTAAGTGCCCCGTCCCCCTGTGGTCTTGCGCACAGGCGAACGCATACATAGGTTGCGCACGCATATGGAAACGGTGTTTGCACCACATGTGAGGTATGGTCACAAACGTTACATCAATAGCAATAATTCTAGCACCAAACCTCCTGTGTAACTCTCAACTGGTAACCAGTAAGGCTTTCCATGAGTGTGCACAATTTTAAAGCATAACATGTTAGGCATCTATTTACTCATCTTTTATTTTTTACCAAACAATTAGGTATTATACTGTGTTTTTGTGCATTAAAATTCATTAAAGTGTTTTTTTTTAATTGCATTTGAAAAACCACTGTGCAAATATCATGTGACTTAAAAAGTTGCAATACCCCCCTTTTTATTCTCTAGGACCTCTGCTTAAAAAAAATAAATAATAATGTTTGGGGTTCTAAGTAAATTTCTATCAAAACATATTTTGATTTTTAAAACAAGAAGTGTCAGAATTGGCTTGGTCTTAAAGTGGATATGAGTGTGCCTAGGCACTCATGCCTACAGTCTCATAGCTGTATGTTTGCAGTGGGAGACTTCAGCACTGTTTCCTCTGAATGACCAGCTGCAGGGAGACCATGGGAAATACGTATGAGTAGTCCTTTGCCTGTCACAGCTTCTGGGGTTTAGTTCTCTTTAATTACTGTCTCAATTCACTAACCCAGGTACCACATGGATGAAGGGATAACTGATAGAGAGTTTGTTAATTACCAATTGATTTGTAACAAATCCCACCTGTTACAGCTGTTACAGATGCCCTTTTGCTCTTCTTGCTGCCCTTCTCCGCCCATATGTGGAAGATGTATTCCATGCCTGGAGTAAGGCCAGTCAATGTAGTGGTGGTCTTGTCCTTGCCCACAGTCACCTCCTCACTGTGACCATCAAGTCCTGAATATGTCAATATATATTTGTCTATCTGACCACGTGCAGCCTCCCAGGATAGGGTAGCAGTGTCCTCTCCCACATCTGTTGCCTTCAGGTTTTTGGGACCATCAATTCCTGAAAACCAGTATATATTGTTAGATAATCACACAGAGCACAAAAAATGAATAACCTTGATATAGCACATTCTTATTATGTATCCATCTATATACATTTAAAGTGGTTGCAAGCCTCAGGCTTGAAACATGAACAAAGCACATCCCTCTATAGGGTGTACTTGTCTCAACCCAGAGCACTAAGTGTCATTTCTGTCTGCTGCCCAATTCTCTGCTATCTGCATGAGTCACTTCTGACAGCAAGAAAAAAAGGTGATGGGGAGGGAGTTCCAGCACACAGCCTGTGATTGACAGCTTTAGTTCTGTTCCTGTGTGCTGTGCAAAGGGGAGGGGGGGTCTCTTCCCTCCAATAACTTCTCAGAGCTCTCCTCACTGAGTGTAGCTTCAGCTCAACACCCCCTGAATTCAGAAGCTCAGAAAAGTATCAATTCTGCAATTTGAATGGTTGTACAGAAGAAATAGCTACAGATAAACAGGTACAAATTATGTAGGAGGATTTGTTTTATCGATGTGTATCACCTGAGGCCAGTCACTTCATTGGATATATGTAAGGATTTAAAACCATGTTATTGAGAAAAACAAACATTCACCTCTGAGTGATCAACGTGCATTGCCAGGATTTAACAAACAATTTAGCAGGTTCCTACATGTTTCTGCTCTGAAGAAAACATTGCTTGCCCCACTTTGTGTCCTTGGATACTGATTCAGATTTTACTCAGCTGGTGCACTTTTTGGGTTCTGATGAGAAACGTTGCAGTGTCTGCACCCCTTTAGAAGTATTTAGGCCTCATGTACGCTGGTTTATTGTAAACGCTGTTTCTTTCTGACAGACAGAGAAAATCAGCATTAAAACCTCTAAAGTAGTTGTAAAGGCTGAAGATTTTTTACCTTCATGCATTATATACAGTATATGGAGGTTAAAAACCTTCTGTGTGCTGTTCCCCCCACAACCTCCATAACACACACCTTAGCCCCCTCTCGATCTAGAGATGTGCATGACAGCCTTACTGTCCCCGGTCTCTCTCTCCTCATTGGTTGAGACATCAGGTGTAGACATTGGCTCCCACTGCTGTCAATCACAGCCAGTGAGTCAATGAGTAGAGAGCAGAGGGCGAGACCGAGCTGCGGCTCTGTGTGCTATGGATGCATAGAGCAGTGGCTCAGGAGGGAGTACGCACCAGTGTCCCCATAGCAAACAGCTTGTTATTGGGGGCACTGGTTTATGGGGAGGAGCCAGGATTGTTGGCAAGGGACACGAGAAGAGAATCAGGGCTGCTCTGTGCAAAACCATCTCACAGAGCAGGTAAGTTTGACATGTTTGTTATTTTTTTAAACCGCTTCCCCTCCGCCCTATAGCAGAAGTACTTCTATAGGGCGGTAGGGCTGCACAAAATTACGTATATATACGCGTCTTCTGTATTTCCAGGTAGGAAGCGTGTGTATGTGTCACCCTACCCACGCGTCGCCATTGGCAGCTACAGCTGTCGATCACCGGGTCCCAGCCAGTGAGGAACACTGACAGAGGAGAGGTCTGTATGTAAATAATACAGATCTCTCCCCTGCCAGCATGAGCATGCTGCTTTGTATTGCTTTGCATGCTTACATAGCCCTAGATGTTAACCCCTTCCTGCCCAGTGTCATTAGTATGATGTCAGTGTTTTTTTTAGCACTGATCACTGTATTAGCCCTGGTTCACATATGTGCGTTCCTGACCGCGGACCGCGTTATACGGGCCGTGTTTTGCTCGGGCACGAGAGCCCATTCATTTGAATGGACTCCCATGGCCCGGGATACGCAGGGAAGAAGTCACTTCTTTGGAAACCACAGCCCGCACGGGAACCTCTGTTCCCAGTCCAGTTGCGATTTCCAGTGCGGGTGGGGTGCCATTAGAATTAATGGCACCTACCTGTGGGTCCGCATTCTTCGGTGTGGGCGGTGCGGGTGCATAGATTTTTGTGCAGATTCGCAGCGGCCCCACACATGTGAACCTAGCCTTAGTGCCACTGGGGATGTCAGTGGCAGTTAGTTAGCTCTTCCCTCTTTGTCAAAATGCCCACCACAGTCCCGCTATAAGTCGCTGATCGTCGCCATTACTAGTATTAAAAAAAATGTAAAAAAAAATTCTAGGATATATACCGCCATTTGTAGAGGCTGTAATTAATTTACACGTATTGGGAAAGACATGAAGCAGAATACATTTTGGCCTAAATTTATGATGAAATTTTAATTGTTTTATTTTTTTAATGGACATGTTTAAAGCAAAAAGTCAGAAATATTGTTTTTTTTTTTTTTTAAATTGTCCGTCTTTTTTTTGTTTATAGCGCAAAAAAAAAAAAACGCAGAGGCGATCAAATACCACCAAAAGAAAGCTCCATTTGTGGGAAAAAAGTACATGAATTTCATTTGGGTGCAGCATTGCATGACCGCGCAATTGTCAGTTAATGTAACGCAGTGCCGTATCACAGAAAACGGCCTGGTCAGGTCAAGAAGGGGGGTAAATCCTCATGAAGGCAAGTGGTTAAAGAAAAAAATGAATCTTTAATATCACTTTAACCCTTTAGGGAGTATCTCACCAAAAATGACAGAGAATGTGTGTATGGCAGTATGACAGTTTTTCCCTCGCCATGCGAGAGGTAGCTACTTGTGAGGTCTAAATGAAAGCACCGAATCAAATACTAACCCCATTGCAATACGCTTGAGGATCTAGAGTTGGGGTGTGATTGGCAGTAATTGTTATTGCAGTGTTTTAGCTCTTTGAGCACATTACAACAGCAGTTAATGTTATCAGCCATTCATATCCATGACTATAGATCAAGACAATCACTTCCACATCTCTCCCTGTTTTAGATAAGTTATGCTTTTATGCCTTCTGTCTTGTACCGCTTACTGCAAGCTGCCACTTTATTTTCAAACAAATTACCCAAAGTGACATAAAAAATGGTGCGTTGTATTCTGCAGCTCATCAATAGCAGTACAGAACCCAGAGCTGTCACTTGTACATGATTTGCACAGACCTGTTAGGAATTTTGCCCGAGATGGTTTTTTCTGAGATAGTAGTCATTTCTTTAATACATAACTAAAGACAAAATGAAATTTGCCTTGATAAAAAAAAGCTATTGTAATATTCACAAATCACAAATGAAAAAGCAGCTGCGGGCAAAGGCCCTGGGGAATATTTTCTATGCTTGCTCACATTTGAATGATCTGGCTGTTCAGGTTCATGGGAAAATTACATAAAGCTCTAATTATAGTACATTGAGCGATCGTTCTGATTTTAGAACAATGGCAATGCTTCCAGGACTGGATTAGCTGTTTGCATGAAGTAAATCTAAACCTAATTACTAAATTACAATCTCATATAAGCTTTAACATGTTAATGTTATTTTTAAAAGGTTGTTTTATTCCACTTACAGTCAGGTCCATAAATATTTGACACAATTCTAACATTTTTGGCTCTATACACAACCACAATGGATTTGAAATGAAACCAATAAGATGTGCTTTAACTGCAGACTGTCAGCTTTAATTTGAGGGTATTTACATCCAAATCAGGTGAACGGTGTAGGAATTACAACAGTTTGCATATGTGCCTCCCACTTGTTAAGGGACCAAAAGTAATGGGACATTGGCTTCTCAGCTGTTCCATGGCCAGGTGTGTGTTATTCCCTCATTATCCCAATTACAATGAGCAGATAAAAGGTCCAGAGTTCATTTCAAGTGTGCTATTTGCATTTGGAATCTGTTGCTGTCAACTCTCAAGATGAGATCCAAAGAGCTGTCACTATCAGTGAAGCAAGCCATCATTAGGCTGAAAAAACAAAACAAACCCATCAGAGAGATGGGAAAAAAACATTAGGCGTGGCCAAAACAACTGTTTGGAACATTCTTAAAAAGAAGGAACGCACCGGTGAGCTCAGCAACACCAAAAGACCCGGAAGACCAAGGAAAACAACTGTGGTGGATGACCGAAGAATTCTTTCCCTGGAGAAGAAAACACCCTTCACAACAGTTGGCCAGAACCTTTTAAAAATAACATTAACATGTTAAAGCTTATATGAGATTTTAGTAATTAGGTTTAGATTTACTTTATGCAAACAGCTAATCCAGTCCTGGAAGCATTGCCATTGTTCTAAAATGTATGACTGTATGTGTTTTTTTTTAACTACATCAGGTTATTAATGCTCTGTAGTATACTGACTTCTCATAGCACTTTTGGGCCACTACAGCTTGTGTACTATGTGATTTTGGTCTCTCCCTCTGTCCTCCCCTCCTGTTTGGTGCTAGTTATGTCAGCCCTAGCTAGACTCTCCCCATTTCTTCCATGTTCCTTCAGTCATTGTTAGTACTTGGCAGAGACAGGGCTTAGGAAAGTCATTGTCTTTTTACACTTCAAAAGACTGGAAAAACATCCTCTGTACTGCAATTAGCTGAAGTTAAATTGTGTTGGATTCAACTTGTGTGTCTTGAATAGGGTTGAGATAGAAGTTCAAGCAGGGGCGGACTGACCATTTGGAAACACTCGGGCACTGCCCGAGGGCCCGGGGTCAGTAGGGGGCCCCATGAGATGCCCATTGTACCTTTTTCATAGGCTTTTTTGAGTTTGGGCAAGGACACAGGGGCCCCCATGATTCCCTATTGCCCAGGGGCCTCATGAGTTGTCAGTCCGCCACTGAGTTCAAGTCGAACCTAAGTTCAACTTGAACATCAGCCGTTCGTGTGTTCAACGAACACACAAACGGTAAGGGTATTCGCAGGCTGTTCGCCTGCCGCACCCCACAATGCACTGTGCCCTGACAGTGCATTGTGATTGGCCACAGCAATGCACCTGGCCACAGGTCAGGTGCAATGCTTTGGCCAATCACAGCGCATCACAGTATTTAAGAACTGTCGGGCCAGCGCAGCTGTCAGATGGTGGGAGCCAGTGTTGAGAGCAGAACGTTTTTTTTTTTTTTTTTTTTTCGGGACGGCGGTGGCAGTGGGCATCATGATTGATGTTAGATC